ATAGGTATTATAAGTTGGTCAGTGATACAAGAGATCACATTATAGGTACTATAAGTAGGTCAGTGATACAAGAGATCACATTATAGGTACTATAAGTAGGTCAGTGATATGATAGATCACATTATAGGTACTATAAGTTGGTCAGTGATACAAGAGACCACATTATAGGTACTATAAGTAGGTCAGTGATACGATAGACCATATTATAGGTACTATAAGTTGGTCAGTGATACGATAGACCACATTATAGGTACTATAAGTAGGTCAGTGATACGATAGATCACATTATAGGTACTATAAGTAGGTCAGTGATACAAGAGACCACATTATAGGTACTATAAGTTGGTCAGTGATACAAGAGATCACATTATAGGTACTATAAATAGGTCAGTGATACAAGAGACCACACTATAGGTACTATAAATAGGTCAGTGATACAGCAGATCACATTATAGGTACTACAAATAGGTCAGTGATATGAGAGACCACATTATAGGTACTATAAGTTTGTCAGTGATACGATAGATCACATTATAGGTACTATAAATAGGTCAGTGATACAAGTTATGGTTACACTACAATTTAATATTCATGTCTTGTATTTCACTACCAATAATGAATAGCAATTGTTTTAAAGAAAAAAAACTGAATGAATATCACAACAGTGGCCTTTAGTATTGTCATAAATACACATGAATTTTTCAGAGTCAACTCGACTAGATTATGAAGCAACCTAAAAGTATCAATAATCGATTAGGCCTAACTTAATTGTATATCAATTTCGACAGCACTGATAATGCTGAAAATTCACCACAATGCATCATTTCAAGCCAAAAATTTAAATTTCTTTGGAACTTGCCCCCAGATACCTTTCTAGCACATGTTCTTATCAAGCTTTTGGTGCTCCTGCGGTATCTTTGGCCCTGCTGACATCTTACTCCTTAACATTTTCCTTGCACTAACAAAAAACTTTGAAAAGGCTAGTAGGTAATAACAGAAGACATTAGATATTGTCTATGAATATCTCAGGCTGCGAACCCTCCCTAATTCAAACCCCTAGATCTACCACTAGTTATCACCTTCATACAATGAAAGCTGGTTGACTACACCAATTTCTACCTCAACCAGCACTACTATACACTCACAGATAGCACATTCTATAGAGATATTCCATGAACTTGTTTTAAAATACAATAAAAGCTATGTTGATGCATACCTCAGCTATGACTCCAATACATCCACAAATAATAGCAGCTTTGGCCTGGGCTCCACTCATTCCACCAAGACCTGATGATAAGAACACCTGTAGCGTAACAGTTATTCTGTGGTTATTTTACAAACCTATGGGTTATTTAGTGTAATGTTTACATTATTACTCTGAATAGCTTAACAATGATGTCATTTCCCTGTTGTATGTTTACACTTTGAAGAGACTTAAATGCTAAAAGAAAAAATTGAGAATTTCATACTTAAGATTTCACTTACAGGATAAGTATCCAAACTGTGCTTACTTAACTGTTTTATCATTATCTCCATTATCTGCTGGATCTCTTTAGTTCTGAGATCAATCATTTAGCAGTATTTGCAGATATTAGAATTAATTTCTACTGGATCCATTTATATATCAGATCAGAAATCTGTTCAGGATTTTTTTATTTACTTAAAGGCTGAAACACCATAAGATTCAATCTGCCCTTGTTACAGTCAAGTTAATATTTGAGTAACATAACTGGCTACGTTATTCCCTTGGACTCCATCTCATGTGGTAGCTTGAATAACATTTAAATTTATATCTTTCCAAGTCCAGAATCCTCCACTCGATCTATCAACATGGATCCAGTACCTTTTTTATCTAGAAACTAAAAATTAAACCACTGATATTCAAATATTACTCCACTGTATGCACAGATTTTTGTACAGAGAAAATTTTGAAATTTGTATCTTATTTTACAGATGTGTATTAAAAAATACTGAGTAAATTATTATATTTAAATTTGTATTTTATTTTACAGATATGTATTAAATTTTGCCAATATTATATTTCTTTCTTTCAAATGCTGCTTAATGTTTATCTTATGTTAAAATTCAAAGAGATAAAATTCCTAAACTTGAGATTAAATTAAAATGTTCACAAACATTCTGAAACACTGATTCTACTATTCAACTCTTAGCTTTCCCCATAACTTACATTAAGAATTCAAAAGGTTCAGAATCACTCATAAAGATTTTCAAGAATACACACTTGTTTTTATTACCTTGCCTCTTAAATCGGTAAGCCCAAGATATTTCCGGCCAGCATTCAAAACAGTCAGCTATTTCAAAATTAACATTTCAACATTAAAAAGTTGTTCAAAGTAGTACTACATTTTCTCTTTGTTATTCCAAGTTGATAGCATTTTGTTCTTCTGATTAAATAATGCCTTAGTTCTTTTTTTTATGCCAAATAGTTGTAATTTTCTTATCCTGATTAAGTAATGTCTTAAATTTTTTCATTAAAAATTTGTTTATCAAATTCTATAGAAAAACTACAAAGTTAATGTAGCATTATGAATACCAATCTAAAAAATTAGAATATTATTGTAATATTTTTTGTATATTGTCAGCACAAATATAATCAATTCATATTTTTTATGAAAGAAATTAATTCAACTTTCCATTTCAATATTTACAAGCTTCACAATATCAGTATGTAAACTGAGATGATAAACGTTAACACACACATCTTACTCTGCCCATCACTAGTTTCATCTCTTGCAGAAACAAATAAAAAATACTGGCAAGTAAGGATTCTAATTGGACCAAAGGAATCTAAATATACACACTAGATATCCAGAGGAATGAATGGATTGTCACTTCTAAACAGAATAAACAATATTAAAGGACTCTCGAGTAGTCCAAACCTATCAAACTTAAATATCAACAAATAAATTTAGTTGATGTAACATAATGTAGCTTTATTAAAAGAACTGATAGGATGAATTCTGAACAAAATAACTGTAGTGAATAAACGCCAACAACTACTAACATTTTTAGAATCTAATATAATAATAACTTTGAATAAAGAGCAAAAACTAAAGAAAGTCACTCCAAAAAAGTATTCAGCTGACCTACCATAGTTCCATGAACAATCCCCTGTGGCCCGATGTAACAGAAACTACCAGCTGTCATTTGTCCATATCTACAGATACAGGAATCACTTAACTTGTACATACATTATTGTAACATCTAATTAATAATCTTTTTGATTGTTACTACAAGCTAACAAATCTTATGACAAGCCAGCATGGAAAATTACATAACCAGATAAGTTAAAAACAGATAAAATTGAAATGGAACATGAAGTGTTCCAGTAGAATAAACACCTGGAATCTAGTGTACATTTTTTTTGACAGGATTTGTTCTAATCGGAGAAGAAGAAGAGAAAAAATTACTATTCAAAATAACATACAGTTACATTGTAAGTACAAAAATTTACACATTTGTTCATAATATCAAATTAGATGGTGAAGTATTAAAGGAACTTATAAAGATATTTTAATAAAATAATTTGATAGAAGGATACAGTATTTGATATAAGCATGCCATTTAAAAATTCCAGTTATAAGCCTAATTATTATACATATAATTCAAACAATATAAAACAAGTTTTATGATACAACTAGGTTTACAATAAATTTCTTGTACGTTTCAAACATAAATATAATGATTTACAATGATTAAAAAGCTTATATGAGCTCAGGACCACGAGGCCTTACCAGTGTTTTGAAGCCAATACTCTATAAACTACCTACAACCAAACCTTTCTGCTCTCTGATCATTGTATGTTCCTTCTCGCCAACATCAACAGAGCTGCAATTCTAATCCAATGGCACAAAATATGCTCACTCATACTGGATAATCTAAGTTACCACTACACAATCATACGTTGTTTCAGTGTCGCACAAATCATAGCAGTCATCTTATAAATCACCATCAAGTTGTTAACCCTACTTGTATCACAAATCATAGCAGTTATATATCACCATCAAGTTGTTAACCCTACTTGTATCACAAATCATAGTAGTCATCTTATAAATCACCATCAAGTTGTTAACCCTACTTGTATCACAAATCATAGCAGTCGTCTTATAAATCACCATCAAGTTGTTAACCCTACTTGTATCACAAATCATAGTAGTCATATATCACCATCAAGTTGTTAACCCTATTTGTACCACAGATAATAGCAGTCATCTTATATGCTACCATGAATGTAGTTAACCCTACTTGTATCACAAATCATAGCAGTCATCCTGTACAACACACAAAGGTAGTTAACCCTACTTGTACCACAAATCATAGCAGTCATCTTATATATTATGATTGGGTAGTTAACTTTTCTTCTTATGTTTCCGAACTTCAACTACCTACTAAAGACATAACAAGATATGATGTTCCCAAACAAGTGAAAAGCAAATTTTGTCTTCACCAGGAGGCCTAAGCTCAGGAAGTTCAAACTGCCTAAGACTTTAACTCAAGAAAGCTCATCCCGATCAGGATTTGAATTTAAAAAAGCTAATCTTGGCCAGAGTTTAAGTTAATTACACAGATTTCTTCTCAAGTCAACTAAATATGCACAGGTATCACATGTCCATGACTCAGAAACTGAAATTGCATAGCCAACTTTTACTGTCTTGGAAAATACCTTTCTAATAAAACGAAAATTACTATAATTCATTGAAATATTAAACTATGAGAACAAAACAATGTAAAATCTTTACTGATTATATAATCTAAAAAAACTTACTTATGGGAACACTACAACATATAGTTTTAGCATGATGCCTGAGACAGTGATTGTTGTAAAATGGAGCTGACTACATCCTGTTCATTTGAATGATAACCAAATGCATTGACATGCATCTGAATTTTTAAAATTTACTTGAATTCACTAAAATGAAAATATATTCATATCCCAGGAGGCTAAAGCTCTGGCAGTTTTTAACTATCATAAGAGACATATTAATAAAGAAACACACTCACAGTGTAACTCCCAAGGCAAACATTCTGTCATAGCTGGTGCGTGAAGAATAATTTGGTATGACCATACCATTAGTGATGACAACCCTTGGATTACTAGGGGATGATGGGAAAAGTCCTAATGGATGTCCAGAATACAAAACCAATGTCTGATCTTCTCTCATGATTGAAAGATAATGCATAACTAACAAAAACTGAAAAAGAATTTAAAAATTACAAAACATTATTAAATGTGAAACAACATATGAAACAAAATATTACTAAAGAATTTATTCTACCAGCTCAGAGTCATAGTACATCGTGAAATATGAAGCCCAATCATTCATTTCAACATTTGTTATCAAATTATACAGGTTTGGGGGAATTCCACCCCTTGCCATGCAACATTTACTATTAGTTATATACAAAATAAATATGTTGCCCAACCAATCATTCATTTCACTACTTCGTTCTGAGTTATACTAGCACTCCTCATCATGTAACATTTATTATGAATTATAGTTTCTGTTTTAATACATCTACTTCACTCTTAATTTAATTTGATAACTTTGGTAACTAAAATGTGAGAGAGAAATGAGCATAATATACAAATTAAGAGGAAAAGACTATTTTAATATATGTATCCATATACATTAATTACAACTTTTATTGACTAAAAAAACCACTCGGAGGATTATGATATACATTTCTTGACTCTCTGATAATATTTCATACATCATTACAAAATTTGATAGTTTTTAGATATGTGCCACTTATCTTCATCAGAAATAAATATCTTTAAATGGAAGGAACAGACAGACAGACATGACATCTTTCCAAATATTCTTTGAATTCTTCTCTTTCTAGGTGGTGAAGCAGCGTATTAACTAATATATAATTCTAATTTATTTTTCCCCATGAAAAGCTTTTCTTCATTCGATAATAAGCTTTGAACAGCATTGTACGAATATTTATAAAATAGATGTCTGTCTATTTAGAGTATTAACTTTTAATATGAGAACATCACAAACTGAAGAACAAGCATGAGGACTCAAGAGCATTGTATAAACAAAAAAGGCGTTAATATTTATTACCATGAAAGTACTACAAGTCATGTGACCACTTCGATATAGAGGTTTTCCATCTTGTCCTAAGTAATGAAATGATACAACACACACACACATATATATATTTCTCAACTGACTTTAAAAACTGAAGATGTTATTTCAAAAATGATTATATCTTCATTGTGTAAGAACAACTGAACCTGGACATAAGCTGTTCATAGAATTAAATCTACTAGAAATTGATAAATGTGACTGACAAATAACCTAACATTTTTGATATATATATGTACGATGTATATTCTTACACAGGAAGTTTTCATATGTTATATTTGTTGTCTTACTTAATATAGCTTCTTGCATGAAATTTGATGACCAATCCTGAGAAAAACTAGCCATAAAAACACATCAATATAACCTGACAAAGACTATGTAAAATATACCCACTTATCCTGAAAAAAACTAGCCGTAAAACACATCAATATAACCTGACAAAGACTAACTATGTAAAATATACCCACATATCCTAACAAAAAAAGGATTACGCATCAGAAGATAAAACTGACCTGTGCCCAGTTTGAAAACACCTGGCCATTTCCTCCATAGGTAACTAGGTCATGAGGGAACTGAGCTACTCTGGGGTCAAGGTTGTTCATTATCATCAACATGATTGCTCGGGCTTGTTGACATTTTCCAGGGTACTTATCAATAGGATATGCCCTGAAATCAAAAGATTAACATTAGAACCTCGTCCAAAAGTTAGGGACTGTCCTAAAATTATCACTATGACAGTAGAACTTCATTCAACAGTACCTTTTTTATCACTATGACAGTAGAACCTCATTCTGCAGTACTTTTTATATCATTATGACAGTAGAACCTCATTCTACAGTACTTTTTATATCACTATGACAGCAGAACCTCATTCTGCAGTACTTTTTATCACTATGACAGTAGAACCTCATTCTGCAGTACTTTTCATATCACTATGACAGTAGAACCTCATTCTACAGTACCTTTTTATCACTATGACAGTAGAACCTCATTCTGCAGACTTTTTATATCACTATGACAGTAGAACCTCATTCTACAGTACTTTTTATATCACTATGACAGTAGAACCTCGTTCTACAGTACTTTTTTATCACTATGACAGTAGAACCTCATTCTGCAGTACTTTTTTTATCACTATGACAGTCGAACCTCATTCTACAGTACCTTTTATATCACTATGACAGTAGAACCTCATAAAACAGTACTTTTTATATCACTCTGACAGTAGTACTTCATTCTATAGTACTTTTTATATCACTATAAACTAAAATGTTATAATACTACATTCTATACAATGAAGGTTATTTCTTTATTTGTTTCACAGTTAGCATTTTGTTTCTGTGTCAAAAAAAGGAGCATGAAAAACCTGTAAAAGCTTATCATCTAATTTTAAAAGACTGATTAATGAAACAGACAGTGTTTTTGTTACCTGAGTACAGAAATGTCTTTCTTTCTTTATTCTTGTTTTTATTATAATAAAACAAAGAAGAATGTATCAGTTTTTGCAATCAAAACTGATAATTTCACTTCTCAACAAAAGATAGAGCCAATAGCAATATAAGCTTTGAAGAAGCATGAGAAAACTGAAACACTTCAGTGATAAAAATTAATACCAGGATTATAATTCATACATATAGTTATACAGTATTACTTTAAGAACTGATTGGGATACAGTGGACAATAACAGAGAAGGCAGAACAAATCCAGTGTATTATTTGAATTTCATCTGAACCTAAAATTGGTTGTTTCAAGATGATAGGAATATTCTGACAGAAGTCCAAACGATAATAAAGTTGTTAGTGATATTTATAATTATAGTGATAAATTGTAAAATTTGAGTTATCACAATAGTGATTTTTTTATTTACTTACAGGATTATTATTGTAGAATAATTACCTGCCAACTTTTGAAAACATCCCGTGGGTATTTTATGCAACATTTTGTATGCATACTCAATGCAATGTTAGTATACAGAAACTAATAGAAAACGAAACATAAACATACTGTTATGTCT